CACCTTATAACAATCATCCACATAAGCAATTGGGTTTTCACATCTTTGAAATACTGCTGAGATTGCATGGAGACATGGTATTCCACATAAATTCCACCTCCTACAAGAGCATGTCTTTGCTCTAGGGGCTTGTAACTTCAGTGATTTGTGCATGGAAGTAGTTTTTCTATAAACAGATTTATTGGTTATTATCATGATTTCTTCGAACTTCTATCAAGCTAAAATGGAAGTGCACACATTACAAGCTTAAATGTTCAACTATCAAAAACAGAGGGGAAAGAAAACCTAAATCATGCATGCTCAAAATACAAAAGAAAGAAGATTGCAGAAGATAGTTGAAGTTTCCAATTATCTCTAACAGAACCTCCACTTGATATTGAATGCATCACTTTGGAAATTACCCTTCAGTAACAGTACGGACCTTCTCATATGCACCCAACTCTCTCAACTTTTGGGGAAGAATGCAAAGACCCCCAAACCTCTGCTGCAAGTAAATAATGCCAGCAAACAGTAAACCTCCAAAAGGAATAATGACATCCCAAGCAGTAGAGTAGAAGTCCGCCACAGGACTTGCAAAAAGGTATGACTCATCTAGCGGATGGTGAGCAGAGTTGTGAGCCCTGTAGAGATCATACGCATGTGGCAATGCTCGAACAAAAGTTGTTCCGATGTAAAATGAAACAGAAAGAGCCTTTTCCCTTGATTTGCAGAACATGTTGAGCAGAATTTGAGGCAACAAAAAACCGTCCAAGACCAAACCAGCATAAGATTTCACGGCCGTGCCCAAATGTGAACGCTGCTGATGGCCTGCCCCGGGATAGGCAGTTATGGAACCATTATTAAGGCTCTTCCTCCAGTTCAGTGTATGCAGAAGCAAAGCAGCCAAAGCCCCAGCAACATATATTAGTAAAACCACAAAGAGAGTCTTCCTCTCCATGATCCAGAGCTCCTTTTGGGTTCCAGTTGCTGATCTTGCTGACCATGTTAGCTGCAGAAGACGGATTTGCAGCAAGAAAGCTACCATTGTTATTACTCTTACAATCACCTCATTAACTTCAAGCCATCCACCACTTCCAAGGAACACACTTCGGCTGTTGGTGCTATTAGCGAACATGGCTTCAAAGTTTAGCATAAGAGGTATCATGTAGCCCAGAGTAAGAATTAGTAGCATGAAAATGGAAATGGAGGGAAGAACATCAGGGTACTTTTTCACATGGAAGAGTTGTAGCGCCACAAAAACACATGAAAGTGTGGTGGATACAAGAACCAAGGTGATCTCCACATCCATCCTCCAAATGGACCGCCTTTCTTCAACCAGGTAACTGGAAGCTGAAGACAAATCCCAACTTTCAAAATGACGAGGATCAGATTTTTTTCGTGTGCTTTTGATGCTTCCCTTGATCAAACTCCATTTCTTGCTTGGATTTGTTGGAGGGAATTGAAAATTGACAACAATATCACAATCCACTGAATCATTTGTTGGCTGTTGATTCTTTGAGCCCAGATTTCTGCAGCCAACCATGCACAGGCTTCCTTCTGTTTCATCATAGATCCCTTCTGCAAAAATCTGCGTATCATTTATAATTGATACATTCCCCGACTTTGCATAAGATAGCAGTGTGATTCTTATTGTGTAGCTAATATTGTAGGGGTTGCTCTGGTTGTTGCTGTAGCTCACAGTCACAGGAGAGCTCACAGGAGCAAAACCTACAGAGTACTCATCGGTGCTTGCAGTTGAATACCAATACGGCTGGTAAAACTGATTGCCAACAGAGAGTGGGACAGAACTGCCCCATGCAACTTCTCCTTTCGAATTTTTAGCTGACACATCGAATCGCATTTCATAAGAAAAGGGATTCGGGTATACATTGGTCTTGTCATGAGCAGCCTTCTTTCTCGGGCACAACTTGGTTACTTTGTCCATTTTCGTATACTTGTATTTCAAGCCTGGAATCAGAACCCTTCCAATGTCATCTTGAGGACTTTCAAATGTAATCTGTTCAAGGTAACCCGACTCTGTCGCAGTTTTGTTGCTCCAAATATGCCCCACAATGCTACTAGTGTTTCCGATTGTCCATATTGCAGGAATTTTCAAGCTCAATCTTGTTGAACAATTTCCCACACGAACGTTATTCCAAGAACTTGCTGCATCCAAGAACTGACAAGCAACAACAGATAGATGGTTTTTCTTAGTATTCCACGAGCCTTCCCCAACCAATGTTTTATTGGGATTGAAAGGCCTTTGATACCAGAGGCTGTTACTCTCTGCAAATTCCACCAGAACTCTCAAGCTTCTTTCATCCTCCAAACACTCAATAGACTTCAACGACACAACGCGAGGCAAATCAGACACAGCAAGTGGAGTGCAGTTCTTAGCAGAAGCGCAACCGCTTGAATATTTGAGATCAAATTCATGATTTAGTACTTCTCTTGAGAGTACTGAACAAAACCTCTCCATTTTCAAAGAACTGGTGGGATTGGAATCCTCACTTCCACCAGAAGAACTCCTGTTTTCAGATTTATTTGAAACCAGAGTGTACTGGTAGTTCATACTAGGAAAAATCAAAATAGAGATTGGCTCAAAATCATTTGGATCATTCTCAGACCCCATCAAGCTCTCTAAGGTTCCACTGATCATACTTGTAACACTAGTGGAATTCATGAAATTATAAAGCTTAAGAACAGAATGAACATTATGCAAATAACCATAACCTGATCCAACCATACAAAGCTTCCCAGCAGATTGTGACCAGAACCCATCTAGTGAAAAAGCTATTGACCTCCATCGATGAGAAGCTGATCCATACTTGTTGCTTGTGTAATTTCCCACAAAGTGATATGTGCTGGCTCTTGGAAATCGTATGCTTCCTTGAAGCTTGAATAAGCCCTGCACATTAGTTTCTATAATACTCCTGGTGTAGAAGACAATTGACTTTTGGACCTGGTATGATGAGTTTGGACTGAGAATGCCACCACTACCACCACCAGTGTAGTAACCTGTATGGCGGTATTGATAGGGCTTTCCTAGCACGTAATCTTTAGGGTCAGACTCGGGAACAAATGAAGCACAATGATCAGTGTAAGCGGTTAGGTAGTTGAATCTATAAGAGGCTGCAGAGGATGTGGTGAACACAAAGAAGAACATGACAAGCTTTGAGAGTTTGTACCACATCTTCAAAGAGGTGGTGATAACAGAAGAAGGCTTGCACTTGGGTTCTTTGTTCATCTGTTTTGAGACAAACATGAACAAGAAGAGATTGAACAAGAACAAAAGGCAATGCGATGGTAAAATACCAGGTCAACCCGCAATTGGGATGGCCCGCCACTGGTCCTACTGCTAGGTAAGGCTTGTGATCTCTCCACTGGAGTTGGCTTTAAATTTTCAATGCCTATGATTTACCTTGTATACAACTCAAACAGTTGGTAAGTTAGCATTTCTCCATTAGTTGAGTCTCAGTAAACAAACTTGATGTATGTAATTGGTTAGTCTGAATATTCCACTGTATGATTATAATTATATTCATTTTTAGTTTTTTCTCTAATCCTTTTTTTATCTAATCTATTATGATAGTCTTCATTGACTTGGAAAATTCCAGGATTAGAAGTTCGTCTCATGAGTCATGATGATCTAATACGATGTCGCTATTAGCTTTTATTTCACTCCGTCAACGTCAACGTCAACGCAAACCAACACTCAAGAAAAATGAAAGGTCACTCCGGCCCGAAGAACACGGTATGTAGGAAAAATTGTTGTGTACCAGTAATCACAATCCCATCGCTACGAGCTGTTATCAATTCACTCATTTTAAAATAGGAATATATATAAATCTATTAAGAGATTTTTGTAGAAATGTCACATGAACTTGTACCCCAATTTTAATTCGTCACCTTAAAGGAAAATTTAAGAGAAATATCACCTTAATTTTTCAAAATCCATGATTTTGTATCATCCATTTTCAAGGGTCTTTTAAAATAGAAAAATTCTCACTAAATTTTTCTTTGAGGTGACAAATTGAAACTGAGGTATAATTTCATGTGACATTTTTACAAAAAATATCATCTATTAAATATCAATCATATCGTGTGTCCATATTATAATACCTAAATTAATAATACCATGTATTATCCTAACAAAAGGAAGTTATTACTTGTGAATCACTCGTGTAAAACATCAGCATAACTTGCTACCGTTGTTGTATGTTTTAGCAAAATAAAACTAGAATCTATTTTGTAAAATATGTTAGGTTAGTGCATGAGTTAAAGGAGAGGTCTAAAAACTCTTTAAAAAGAGGATAAGAACGAAGAGAGAGCCAAAAAGTCACAAGACTTTGACTTTGTCCACCCTAAACGTAAAGACTTTGCCCAGAGGTGGGCAAATTTTCCAAGCAGAGCAGATCACCTCGATCACTCGCATTAACTTGTAGTGAGGAAGTTTTCCTTGTTTTTGTCTCCCATAAAGTACAAGATAACATGGAAAAGTCCGGTGCCTATTAATTCTTGCATTTTTCTGAAGTCCAGCTGCAAAACGTGACACATGGAGTCATTAGAATTAGATAATAATGCCGGATTTTAACTGAATTATCATTTAGGATAATACCAAATTTAAGTTGGACTGTACTGCTAAATACGAGAGAGAGAGAGAGAGAGAGAGAGAGAGAGAAGCAGGTGGTGCGCCTGCGAGCAGAGACCAATTAGGTCACCGGACTCCACTGTTGATTCCCACGACCTCTCCAGTCTCTGCTGCCGCCACCAATAGGGGCACTGCCTACTTTCTCTTTTTGTTTCTTCACCATTTTGCTTTTAGTTTAGTTCTTTAGTTTTTTGTTTTGTTTTTTTTCTATAAATGGGGTGCAAATACATCGATGAAACCATATCTACATTCGACCAAGAAAACAAAAATAAACCATATCAACAGGCACTCTTTCTTTTTCACTCAAATGACAATTTTCCGTCTAAAGGACGGGAGATGAGACGATAAAAAAGAAGCCATTTCAAGGATAATGCTTGAAAATCTGGGTTTTCTGCTTCTATAATTAGTTACTGAATGGTCTACTCAAATTCAGGACGGTTTATCAACTTTACAATTTCAGAAGAAAAAAAAATATATTCCGCACCGAGCTGCAGAATAGAAATTTCAGTACTAAAATTCCAATAGTATAAAACTGAAGCTTAGTCTAAGCAATCCCCATCCATACTGGCATCCTATATACAATATCCAAAAACATATTTACGCAGACAGATGGTTATAATAATGAAAAGACGCTCTGGAATGAAGTCTAAACTTTTCGACCAGAAGAAAAAGTTATATATATATTTGTAAGTCAAAGGAAACCTATGTCTCACCTCCGCTTAGATATATGGCAGAGAGTCAAGTCTCGCATCAATTTATCAACATAAAACCATTGACGTTGCAGCCTGAGGCATACTAGCAATCTGATTGTTCCCAACTATTGCTGGTGGTAAGAATTTCTCACAGTCCTTGGCCCCGATTCTTGTAAACTCTGTGACAAGCATAGGTACATACCCGGCTAAAGAATCCTTGAACTTCTGTGAGCAACTCTTGTCACCCTCATCAACGTCTTGAACTCCACCTTTGACCAGACACCCCACTTGAGCACCATCCATGTATGCTTTGCAAGCCACCAGAATGTCACGAGCACGACTATAGAAATGCCCCAGAACAAAATCCTCAAAATTCTGCAGCCAGATATAAGTTAAAACTGAGAAATGCACTCAAAAGGGTAACCAAACACGAACTCTCCACACATAGGAACAATTTAGAAAAACATGGCATCCACAGCATTACATAGCCAGATATACCGAAGCCGCAAGTTTTGACTGCCAAATCCGTAATGTGACAGAATGATCATTAAAGACAACTGTAATATCACCAAACATTATGCGCTCGTATATAATATTTGCTTATTTAGTTGACAACATAAACAGCTAGTTCATTATCTAAAGAATAAACTATGTAGATGAGGGAAAAAAAGAAGGTATGATGAAAAACTATCAAAACTTGCAATTAAGATCCACTGAATCTCTGGCGTTCTAGTCAACCTTCCACATACAGAAACCTATAAATTATTTTAACATCTTGCACATTACACAAAAAAAAACATTATAATTATATTGAGGAAACAATTATTGAATTCAGTATATCATTTTATCCAGAAGTATTATCAATTGGTTGTGTACAATGATGGAAATTAAATGCAGCATTAGCAGTGCTGGTGATGTTTGTGCAGGTGGTAGTGTCGGAGGTGGGGGTGTTGGGGTAGTGTCTTCAAAACTCTTGGAAGTGAGGTGGTGGTAGTTTGGTGGGGATGGGCATGAGGGTTGTGGCAACAACAATGTCGGCAGGAAAGTGGAGACGAAAGCAGTGGTGGTGGTAGTGGTAACTGTGGATTCTTTTGTTAAACTCTTGGAACATAGGAAATAACACCCTATTTAGGAGGAAATTTAAAAGTTTAGGACCCCAAATTCCACATCTGCTTCATTTTGAATCCCAAGATTTCATTGTTTATGACAACAAAGAAGGCAATTGGAGATGGTCACTCCCGAAATTCCGACTTCTTCCAAAATACCTAGTTTATTTTTATCATCCTAACATACTGCAAAAGAAAATTAATTCCTTCTCAAACTCCAGAATGAGCTACATGATGAGTTCGAACTCATATTTAAAAATTCAATATGAAAATGGTTTCAGAAAAAATACTGCATTTTCAGAAATCTATGTAAATGGTTGTTTAAAACTTCAGGAAATTCAGCATACATTGACATGTTTTGACTGATTATTTTTAAGATTTTCAGAAACATTCTCATCAGCTTCACATATTGATGCACATGGACAATGTTTACAGATACCAATCTCATACTACAAAAGACTGAGCAGAGTCTAGATTTTTAGGAAAATGGAGAAAAACTCAAATCTTACCTTTGGAGGCCTCCTCATGATGTACACCATTGTCCTTAAAGATAGG